TTTCAGAAAGAGCTCTTTGAAGAGCCAGGCTGCTTCTAGCAGCTGAAATGCTGATAAAAGCCTTGGAAAGGCAATGCTGGAAGATGTGTGCTGTTCCCCAGATTGCCATGGGCCAAGGCTCAGCTATACTTTCTGCACCTTACATTTTCATCTGTTGGTGGGGGATATTTTGTGGGTATTGTAAGGCAGGAGGGATGGAAAGAGCTAAAAGCTGGGGCCAGGGTTAGCCTGTGAGACTTTCCAGGGGCCAAGTGGAGGCAGGCTGTGCCAGCTCCTTGGGGGTGAGGCTAGTGTTTTCAATGGCTGTTGCTCAAAACTGGAACCAAGCAGGTCAGAGCCCAGCTGAACCTGCCAGCGGCTGCAAGGTGCATGGCTTCGTGCCAACCTCTCCAGCTAATGTTTCCAGCAGCAGCCTTGGGAAAGCGGGAGGAAGACGGGATCCTCTGGTTAATCCCAGCCAGGTCCTCTGGAGCACAGAGCCTGGCAGCTCCACAGAGGCCTGCTGGTGCCATGTGCGTCACGTCTGACTCCTTTAAACAGGGCTGGCAGCTCCATTTGGGACTTCTCTGGGCAACACGGCAGAGCTGGAGCTCTCTGCAGCCTCCAATCTGTGTGTTCCCCTGGCCTCCCCCTGGAGCTGCTGGCGTGAAGCAAGTTGTGACCGGCCTTCGTTTGACTTCTGGGTAATGCAGTTTGATGTTTCTCGACCACAGGCTGTGAAAACTGGCAACTGATCAGTTCCTGTCACCCGTGCAGCTGAGATAATTAAGCCTGTTACTATTATTTTTCTTCATTTTTCTGCAAGCTTTGGCCACTCTTGGAGCCTGTGGTGCAAAGAGGAGGGTGAGGCTAGTGAAACTCCCTATAAATGGTGGGAAAGTGAAACATATGTGCTTTGCTCTTTGTGCTCACTAAGATGTCTTCTTGCTCTTTGCCTTGGGAAGGGGGATGCGTGATGATGGATGGGAGCCAGCAGAAGGCAAAGTGAGCTCCTCCATTGGAAATCCTTGCTCATAGCTGCTTCTGAACTAGAGCATTGCATCAACAGCAGGCAGCAGTAGATCATTTAGTAGCAATACATTCATGAGCTCTCAAGATCACTGTATTTCTTATAACCCTTTTATTAAAACACCACAAAACATGGAATTATGCTCTATAAATGAAGACCAACGCCTATAGTACCCAGTGAGATGAAGTTTCTCTCTTTGCAGTGTTCTCCTATCCCTCCCCTGTAAGCATCAGGCACTGCTGGATGGAGGAGGGACAGATGTATTAGGAGGCAACAACCACAGCAGGATAGATCCAGTGAGGTGTTTTGATTTCTTAACAAACTCCTTGGGCACTAGAAACTGTAAAATAACATACAGATAAACAAAAACTCACTGACCCTTAGCATCCTGGAGGGCTCTGTTTCAGATCGCTGAATAAAAGCTGAGGTTTCATATGCATGTTTAATGTAACACAAGGCGTGTGCTGCAGAAAAGTGTGCTTTCTTCTAATCTGGTTCCAGACAAGCATCCAAACAGAAGCCCCTTTCCCTGTCCCCACTGAACTGCTTGGTGTATGTGAGGAAACCCCTGAATGACAAGGCCTCCATCTGCTCTTGCACGGAGTTGCGACTGGCTGCAAATGTTGTCCATATGCTTTTTTTTTCCTTGCCTTTCAACTTAGCTGTCTAATGTTAGACACCTATCCCTAAATTAAGCATCTGCTCATAATAAGCTTTCCTAAAAAAAGGTGGAGGTAGTAGCTTATTCAAGCAATGAGTATTAGTAGAGGTGCATCTGTAGATGGAAAAGCAGGTGAGGTTATTCATTCAGTGCAGTGCTTTCCTTTGCTTTTTAGGGAATGGAAGAGCCCCTGCATTCATGTCTTGTCAGGGAAAAATTAAAAATTATCAAGTTTTGGGTTCATGTTCCCCTCTCCCCTTTGCTCCTGATTTCCCAGGTGATTATAAGAAACATGTTGCCATTTCTTTTGGTTGATGGTATTTCTGGCCAGACAAGAGAACATGGGCATGGTTTGCCATGAGCTCAGGTTGCATGACAGGCAGAGAAGGGTTTAAAAATGGAAGTTTTACTTTGGTTTGTGGTGTAAGAAGAGCTGGAGTATCTTTTTCAACATTATGACTTTACAGTGGATACTGGGACAAGTTGAACATCAGCTGATCATGTATGGAAACAGTTTCCTAAACACAGGTATATGTTGCTGCTATAGGCACCCTCAGGTATCCCAGCTCTCCATCAGCTGCCTGTTAGGAAATATATTGGTCTCCCTTAGGAACTTTTTTATCTCTAACTTGTTTCATGTCCTGTGGTGTGTCTAGAAAGTCTCCATTGGTTAGATATACAATTATCTCCCTGTGCCTCAATTTCATATCTCTACCCTAATAATTTAACACTATTCCTTTAAATTTTACTTTAATCACTTCTTTCTGGGGAGTGGTTTTGGGTTTGAGTTTAGGAGATTATAGAGTAGGACTGTAGTAATGGGGCAAGAGTAAAGTATCTTTGCTAGATGGGAGCCACAGGTAGAAAACAGTTGGAAATAGTCTCCTGAAAACCTCAAAGTATGACAGGCTACAGTCAGCAGCCCACTGGGCATTTTGGTTAGGTATCAAGTGTAGGCACAGACTTTTCAGTGACTTTTTCTTCCCAGCATCTCTTCTGAAAATCAGAGAAAAGATAATTTTTGCACATTATCTGACCTTGCTGGGACTTGTGAGATGCTGGGGTCACCATGTAAGAGACCTCACCACACCTGGAAGGTTGCAGGTACTTCTGAGGTGACCAGAAGTTTATCTGCCTATTTGTAATTCCTGTCACCAAAGGTCATCTCTCTGCTGTGCCCTGACATTGAGCAATGTCTGCAATTCCTTTTAATCATGCCCTTTCCCTTCCTGATCATTTAGGGCAGAGCACTTCCACTTTGTGAAACTCATTAACTGCTTTAGTGTTAAGGTCTACTTTTCCATATAAATTCATTCAGCTGAAATCTCGTGACTCTTCATGGCTGCACACAAGCAGATTCTTACTCTGTTGCTCAGCAGATGCTGAGAGTGTTTATTTTTCAGCTGTAGACACCCGAAGTCTGAGAAAAATGTGATGTCTTTGTGTGTGTCTATAGGAAAACAAGTAATTCTGATGGGTTTGTGGCAACTCAGTTGGCTGTGCTACTGTTTGAGCTCAAGGACCGTTTTGATCAAACCTGGAATCCCAGACCCTTTCTGCCATGGTGATTTATCAAGATATCATAAAATCATAGAATAGTTAGGGTTGCAAAGGACCTTAAGATCATCTAGTTCCAACCCCCCTGCCATGAGCAGGGACACCACACACTAAACTATGTCGCCCAAGGTTCTGTCCAGTCTGGCCTTGAACACTGCCAGTGTTGGAGCATTCACAAGTTCCTTTGGCAACCCATTCCAGTGCCTCACCACCCTCACTGTAAAGAACTTCTTCCTTATATCTAATCTAAACTTCCCCTGTTTAATTTAAAGCCATTACCCCTTGTCCTACCACTAGAGTCCCTAAGGAAGAGTCCCTCCCCAGCATCCTGGTAGGCCCCCTTCAGATATTGGGAGGCTGCTAGGAGGTCTCCACGCAGCCTTCTCTTTTCCAGGCTGAACAGCCCCAACTTTCTCAGCCTGTCTTCATACGGGAAGTGCTCCAGTCCTCTTACTATCCTTGTGGCCCTCCTCTGGACTTGCTCCAACAGCTCCATGTCCTTTTGATGTTGAAGACACCAGAACTGGACACAATACTCCAAGTGAGGTCTCATGAGAGCAGAGTAGAGGGGCAGGATCACCTCCTTTGACCTGCTGGTCACGCTTCTTTTGATACAGCCCAGGATACAGTTGGCTTTCTGGGCTGCAAGCGCACACTGCCTGCCCATGTTGAGTTTCTCATCAGTCACCGCCCCCAAGCCCTTCTCCTCAGGGCTGCTTTGAATCTCTTCAATGCCCAGCCTGTAGCTGTGCCTGGGGTTCTGCTGACCCAGATGTAGGACCTTGCACTTGGCTTGGTTAAACTTCATGAGGTTGACACATCAGCCCACCTCACAAGCATGTCCAGGTCCCTCTGGATGGCATCCCTTCCCTCCAGTATATCAACCGAGCCACACAGCTTGGTGTCGTCGGCAAACTTGCTGAGGGCACACTCAATTCCTTACTCAATTCCATAAAGTCCAGGTCTGATATGCTCCAGAAAGGCTTTGTTGAAGAACCAAAGCAACTCTCATAATCCCCAGGAAAAGAACCACATTAACATAAAAGGCCTTGCTGCTCAGATCACGCTCAGTGAGTCTGATGGGTTGTCAACCAAAAGGAGGTGTTTGAGCTCAGTTTTCCAAACTGTTGGTTGTAGGTAAAAAGAGATTGAGGGAACCCTGTTTCTTTGTAAATCTCCATTGATCCCAGTGTGGTTTTGATATTTCAGGGTCTGCAACAGCAGTGTTGGGTAAGGGAGGGCTGCTGAATTCCTGGCAAAAACTTGTCAGTGGTTATATGGACCTCATTATATGTTCTCATGAGCGAAAGTCACACCTGTAGACTTTATTTCACCAAATCTAGCTACATTAAAAACACATAACCACAAACTTGGTGAGGGTGGGCAGAAATGCTGGTAAATGAGCTTTATCTCAAGTCACTCCATTTGGTAATCGTACTCTCTGAGCATGATAGACTTGTTCTTGTTCATGTATGTGTATGAAACATTGGATTAAAATAACATGTTCCTTTTCAGCATGGCTTGCCTGTATTCTCACTGTGTTTTCCTACATACCTTGCTTTCCTTCTGCCCCTGCTTATGCAAAGTTTGAGAGGCTTTGGGGAAGTCTTCTCAACAGCTTGGAATCTGTGATGCTGTAGATCAAGCAATGCAGGATGAGTCCACATGTTTCCCTAATGCCCTTTCTTCCCCTGCTTCTGGTCAGAAATACAAGCCTCTTGGTCTTCAGTGGTTCAGATTGTGCTAATGTTTTTCTTGCTTTGTCTCTTATAGGGAAAAGTCATTGGAGATACGAAACTGCTTATGAGTTGTGGTTGCAGAAAAGGGAAAAATGCTCAAGTGAAAGACTCAGATCAGGTCAGTCAATATGCACCTTAACTTGTGGAAATAAAAGAATGTGTTAACATCTAGTAGATTTGAACTGTGTTGTTGTGTATCAGCATTCCTGGACACAAACTAGAGTCCTTGGCATGGCTGGCAATGATATAACATTAATGTTTTTTTATTTGTTATTTGCCAAAAAACCCTCAAGCAAGATCAGGATTCATTGTACTAGTTGTTAGTGCTCTAGCCTGGCTTATTCCCACCTGATTGATATATTCATGAATTCTGTTTCTTTATAAAAAAGCATTCCAGGCAATGCCTTTCTTAAAGAATATCTCACTTTCTTGCTGGCTAAATGCATGCAGCCTTTAGTCTCATACTGTAGCTGCCTGGATGGGCAATAGTTACAGAGAAACGTGCCATTCGTCACATGCTTTTGTTCTGAAGTGACACCATCACAAGAACATTCTTTATTGAGGTTCCTTATGATAGACATGTAAAAACTTGTTCACAGACCAACGGCCAGGATTCAATGTTCATTACTTGGAATTAATGGTCCCTTATTCTAAAATTGGTCAAATTGGCGTCAGTGGGATCACTTGTAGGGTCCAGTAATTGCAAGTGAGGTGGACTGCACTCTGAACGACAGTCAGCTGGTGGTCTCTTCCTACGTCCTACCATTTTGCATTTATTCAGACCAGACAAGTTTGTCCCTGTCAACATTTTCAGTTGTTATGGCCTTCTGGTTTGGAGCTAAAGAAAAGTTTAAATTCAGAGATCATTTGCTCCAGAAATGAAACAAAACTTTATTTGAGCAGAAACATTTTATAAATATTGGTTCATCTAATGTAAAATGTGGTAGAGTGAAGCAGTTGATCTCAAATATCAAATACCTTTGCTCTCTAATGTACCTTGTGAACAGCCTGTGACCAGGTAGAGACCTGAAGCAGATTCAGACAATGCCCACAAAGCTCCAGGGACTCCTGATAATTTACTGTTGGGAAAAGAGATGAATTCTCAGGAGGAAAATACGTTTTTCGCTTCCAACATGCATGTTCACCAACCCTAACTAATAACAATATCTCTGAGACTCATTTTGTTAATGTCTCTTACTATTTATCTATCCTTAAGTGGGCTCTGTTTTGAGGAATGTTAGTCACACTTATAAATGCTTTGTAGGATTAAGTCTTTCAGTAATGGTTTTTTTTTTCTTTAATTAGTACTTTCAAAATGACAAATTCACCATTGTGAGCTATTCTATAAGTTCACCATCAAGAAAAGGATTTGTATTACTTTTCTTTAAAAAATAGCTTCCCATTCTCTCAAATACAGGCTTAATTTTCTCATGTTGATGTTCGAACATATCAGGAGAAAATTAATTTAGAAATGAACACTTTGACCAATTTTAGTTTTTTGTATTTTGATATACTCTGGTTGAATCACTCTTGATTTACAACAGGAATAGAGCAGCATCAAATCTGCTTGTAATAGAGATTAATAATTAAATGGGAACATATTGATTGCAGGGAGGTTTTACAAAACACTATCTTTAGCAAACCCTGAATACTGGACCTAAAACTCATTGATGACAACACTCTAATTATAGAGTAGGCAACAGTTTCTACAGTGAAAAACCATCCCATTCTCTTTTATGTTTTCTGGGACAGTGATAAATTATTCGTTGTGTTTGGTTACTTTCTGAAATATAATTTTTGATATCTATGGTTTGTTGACTATCTCACTAAACTTTTTTTTGTTGTATCAGCACAAACTATTAAGGAAGTGCTTGCTCCAGAGGCTGTAAAGCTCATTTATTGTGCCCCTGACAGGATCTTGTCTGTATTTCAGGGGACAGGAGGTGGATGGGGAGGAAGCTAGTATAGGAGGGTGGGTGGCAATGAGAAACATTTGTCTGTGAATGCAGGACCTCAGCTCAGCTTATAAATTATCCCCTGAGCCTTGTAGATAAACACAGACTTCTATGGTGACATCGGCTGGGAAAGGCAAATACTTGCTGATGATTGTAGGCTAATCCTTCAGGACACTAATTGCCAGAAAACCAAGGGAGCATTATTTTAGGAACAGCTTGTTTCACTTTGTGAAGGGGAAAAACACTGCACAGGGTTTAGTTTTGTTTGCAGAGCTTTATCCCCTCCTCCTGTGCTCTGTCTCAGATTTTAAAGGTTTACCTTCATTGTTGTTGTTACTAACTTTTTCTGTTCCTTCTTTTTTTGTCAACCTGCATTGGGTTTTCCTGTGGTGCCTCTGTTAAATTGAATGAAAATGCAACTTAGTTTTCATTTCATAAATGTACATATAAATAGGTATGTGAGTTTATACCATGAACTATTTAAAGTTTTGGGACTAACAAGCTACTTTTTGGCTGAATATTTTTGGGAAACGTAATGCTTTGCCAAGATTTTTTTTTTTTTTTTCATTATTTGAAATATATTTGGAAACTTTGAAAAAGTCATAGACACACTGCTCACCAGTGAAAATCCACAGCTGAATGAAGTCATGATCCCATTGCTGAGGTTGTGATTTACTGGCATTTTTCCAGTAAGCCTCTAGAAGAGAAGGCACCTTTACCTCCTTGACCTGAGATCTGCTCCCCTGAGCCTGGCATCCAAAGGTACCTATGTACATGGTATTCTCCATGGTGCAAGTCACTGGAGTGTAAATCCTGGCGCCAACACTATCAACAGCAGAAGTCCAAACAGACTTACGTGGGACTGGTATTTCACAACAGTCACAAGGAGCCAAACCTTTATGATGGATTTGCACCAGAGCAGGAAAGGGGCTGGTGGCCTATGTTGTGTGGCCTCCCAGTCCAAATCAAACCCTACAAGATGAGGTGGAAGGTTAAGCAGTGTAATGTAAATCCCTGAAAGGTTTGAAAACCTTGAAGGGAATACAGCTGAAGAACTAGTGTCGCATCCTCTACGGATGGTCTTGATGAAGCTTTGTGTTGGTGAAGCAAGATGACTGAGAGGAGTCCCAAAAAAACGCTGCTTCTTGGCAGCAACCCCCTATGTCCTTGGCTGCCTTTGGCATCATTTGCCAGATGTCTGTGTGCTTTGTGGGAATGAAATTCATCCATGTTCCAAGCCCCAGAACCAACTTTCTGCACCACAAACATCCTACTGTAATTGTAAGGTTCATACATGCTCTTCAGAGTGGTTATTAGTTTCCCAGTAATTTATGCCTCCCTATAAATTATTATACTGTTGCTTATTGTTTGAGGTGCATGTTGCATAAGAATGGCAATCCTGGACTAACATTTCCTTATGCAAAGTAGTATATTAACATAAAGCAGGAAAGATGGTTCTTCAGTAGTAATTTAATTTGTTTATTTCTAAGGAAAGAAAAATGTTATTTAAAAACAGGGAAAAAAATGTGCGGGTGGACAAATAATGTACATATTAAAGCTACGCATAAGGTTGAGAACCAGAAGTAGCAGAGCACTCCATATTCTGAGCACGTGTTGCTCTGCTTTCTCAGGGTTTAGTTTTATTTGTTTTCTTTTGCGTCTCCCAAAAGGTAGGCAGCTCATGATTGTTTAACTGCTCTTGTCCTTTGATTTTTATTTTTTTTTTTCTCTTTGCTTAACTTTTGTGGTGGCTTGTGTGAGCTCAAGTGTTACTGAGAACTGAGATCCTCCTGTCCTTCTGCGTGTTTGTTTTTGGTTTTAATATGACAAATGTATGCCTTCTCTGGAAACGGTATCCATGCTGCAGAGTAATTATTTAGTGAATGGTGGATCTAGTTCATGTTGGCAAGGATCAGATTAATCATTATTAATCATGACCCGTCTGACAGTAACTTCATCCCTTGCCTAAGTGCTGCTCTTTATTAAGAAGTAATAGCTATTAAGGGATGGCTGGGCCACTGCTCTTGTTGCACCGGCACAGGGCTCAGGACTTCTGGCAGGAGGCAGAGGAACTCGGTTCAAAACTAAAAATAGATGAACATGGTTCACATTCCAGAAATGAAATACACAGCTTCCCCTGTGGGCTTCTTTAGCCTCATCTGAGTGTCCTCCTTTCCCGCTGAACCCTCCTAAGAATTTGCCTCTTCCCAAAGGTTGAATTCAGTGTTGTGGATGAAATAATCTCTCTGAAGCTTTTTTATTTTTCTGCTTGATTTTCATTTGGTTTTTTTTATTACTTTGGTAGATCCAAGTATATATATAAGTATAATGAACATGCATTCCTTGCAAGGATCAGATTCAAGGTCTATTCTGGTGGTTGTAGCAGGTGTCAACAACTGACAAGATGGCAGATGAGCTTAGCTGCCTGGGACTCCAGTTGTACCAAGTAGACCCGAAACCAACCACCTTTCTGAGTGTTCCTAGATTCCTTGGAAAAAACACTGTGTTGCTGAGGTAGGCATGGAGCACTGTTCACCGCATGCACAAAGTTGTGAGGAGTCCATCTTTGCTTTCCAGGTCATTGGAATGAGGATTGCAGGCCTGTATATATATACATATATATGTATCTCAACATACATCTCCCTACTGCTCATGTCAACAGATATCTGCTGAGAGTAGACAGTAGTTTAATTCATAAATTCATAATTATTCTGGTTTTCCTAGCAGTACAGGTTCTTTTTAAGAAGGTGAGGCAGTGTTATCAATAGATGTCATCATTATTTCAGCAAAAGCACAATGAATTAAGTACTGGATTGCAACCATTCTCCCCAGTCTCTCCCTTCCCCCACCACCCCCTCACCCCCGCTACCTCCTCAAATCCACCTTAACTACTTTTTAAAATGTTTTTATTGTCTGTATGGAAATCAAGGAAAAAAAAAATCTTTGGAAGAGAGCAAAGGAAAGAAAAACATCTTTTGTCTCCATCTAGCTCTTCAGTGCCTGGAAGATAGCAGTAGAAATTCAGAGCAAACCTGCCACACTTTTGATCTCTGTCAAAGCTGTTGTGGGAGTAACACTGTTTAATGGTTGAAGGAATTTATTGAAGAGTAAAAGTACCAGCAAAGACAAAGGGACCAGTACAAATTATCTGGTAAACCGCTGT